GTGCGCTAGGAAAGAAATCATGATGTAATTTAATTACCGAAATATTAAATTATCAAGCTAATAATTTAATAGGTTTTTACCGAATCGGGACTAGACGAACTATTATTTAAGCAAGACTATTAATTTAGTGTGTATTAATTTATCGAGTTTCGAATATATATATCTATATATATTTTTTTTTTTTTTTTTTTTTTGTAAACGAATCGGGCTTGTTCCGGTGTATCGGCCGTATTTTCGCATCGAGGAAAAATAAAATAAAAAATAAATTACATCCATAAGGTGGCAAAATGAAAATTATACATAGAGAACAAAATAACATCTCAGTATTCAGTTAAACATATGTTTTTTCTAACAATGGAAACTTCCAGACATAATTAAGCAACAACAACCACCACAACAACAGTAAAAACAGAAATTTAAAAAGAAAATTACAGATTTCGGACAAGTTTCGAATTCAGAATCACAGGTAGTAAATAAAAATAAAAATTAAAAATAATGAATAAAAAAATTCAATCAACGCCATGCTTCACAGCGTTCCGTAATTGAATTTATCCGGCTCAAATTGCTCATGCAATCACTCTTCGGAGCCACATCATCATCTAAATCAATTCTCGACCCGTTAGACCGGCCCGTTTTGCTCGTCTTACTCTCTTCGAACTGATTCTTGAAATCGCTCGTAACTATGTAGACTTCACCTCTAGTTTCACTTTCGTCGGATTCTTGAGTAGAAGTTGAATTGCTGTTATTACATGACTGGTTAGTTTCGGAACTAGAATCCGAACAAGGGTCCTCAATCACAAATGCGTGTGTTGTTGCCTCTTCGCACGATTCGACGGGATCTTCGACTTGCAGCTGCGGGAAACTACGATGTCCGTTTTCGTCGGAAGGTTCCATGTGGGGAATGGAAGAAGGTTCTAGAACGGGATCTAATCTTTCTCGTAAAGTCTTCTCTATTAGTGTCTTGAGGAAGTTCATCACTTGTACTGCGTACATCAGTGCTGTCAGTGGATCCGCCATCTGCTCACGAAAAAAGCCCGATTGTGAGAATTTCGGAAAATATAGTTTAAAAAATAAATAAATAACAAATAAATATTACTTTCCGACTCAAGTACATAGTTCAATATAACTATGGTCTATAAGAAATGCTTTAGTTTATGCCCGTATGAAGTTTTTTGTTCTTACATGCTCGTATTATCAGAGTTCACCAGTAAAACTTATTCCAAGTCCGTTCCAAAAAAATAAATTGAAAAAATGGAATGAAAAAAAAACTTGTACCAAAATTGAAAATTTTCGGATCGGAATCGGCAGAATTAGGATTTTTTAATTTTTTTGTCACCTATAATATCAAAAAAATAATACTGATATTTAAAGTGAAAATTTTGGAGGGGAAAATGAAATTTTCCAGAGTTAAAATTGGATCAAAATTTAGAATCTAATATGTATCGCATTTGCTTTCCAAAAAAAAAATCGGACATTTCGGAATTCGGAACTATCTGAATCAAAAATATTGTTCGAAAATTGGAAATATTTCGATTTGGAATGCCCAGAATTCGGAAATTCCATTCCAATTTCCACCACCAGGTAAAACATATTTGAGCAACTCCAAGGCCTTGTTTGGAAATAGTGATTCGGTTCAATACACAATATAATCAAAGTTTCGTCAAATGTTCGGGGTTTAGGAGTTTACCTGAGTCATATTAGGAGCGAAGACCATAGCAATATTTCGTGAATTCATTTTGTTTATATGCTCTTCTTGAACGACATCAGCCATTAAATTGATCGCCCAATCGAGCAAAGAAGCTTCCGTTTGAGGGAGAAGCCTCACTAGTGCTTCACAATCGTCTTCCGACTGAGACTGCATAACTTGCTCGGGTGAAAGAGAATCCAATATCCCTCTCGGAAGTTCTCTAAACCAAGCCTACATTAAAATACGTAAATCAATGAAATACGGGTCCCACTTGAAAGCAAGTTTAAAAAAAAAAGCATCTATGTAATAACCTTAATGAGGCCAGCCAAACAGTGAACATCGATGCCGCCAGGAATTACGCCTCGGTTTAATTGGTCCCTCACATACTCGTCTTGGCTGTTTCCTGCGGTTATTCTGAATATCCCTTCAGCCTGCAAATATAAATACCAAAAATAAAAATGTCGAACATTAATTAAAAAAATAATAAGCCAAAAAAAAAAATTAGGGTCGTTGCACGATTGACTTACTTGAAGGCCGCCTTGGGAATACAAATGCCTCTGCAAAAGCAGGAGAATAGTCGGAATGCTATTGCCTCGTAGATCATAAGAGAGTTGCATTGATTCGGTCGAAACTCCGAAAACAGTGGCACTGTCAATATATATATACATTATATAATAACAACCGAAATTCCATTTTCGTCAAAAAAGCAGATAAACAAATCGAAAGCTAAAACAGAGAGCGCACAATGAGATCAAATCAAATAGATATCCGCTGAAATTTATTTATAACGATAAAAAGTTTCCGTTTCTAGAAGAGTTAATTCGACGCATAATCGTTCCGATACAGTCAACTATTAAACATTTAATACGAATGAAGTCGCATTTATTGATCGGTGAAATGAAGGAATAATAGATAATTTATTAGTCTATCTTATCGACTAGATACGATGGATCCATTGATAATAAATCCGATGGATTCCCTCGTTAAAACTCACCTAAAATATGATAAAATGATAACGACGCTACCAATTTAGCAGCAATTTTATAATTAATTGTCAATAATACAGTTAGAGAAGCACTAGATTCAAGAAAACGACAAGAACATTAGATAACAAATTTCACCAAATTATCTGAAAAAAATTCAAAACCGCAACGCAAGGAACGAGTTATAAAGAGCAAAACGACAATGCAGAAGTCCATACGGTCTAATATCAACAATCCCAATAATCATCAAGCAAAACAAACGGGAAACATCACAATGTGTGTAAAATTTCGACGTCGCGAGATAATTAACATGTTAATCGAACATTTCAAGAACTTTAAAAAAAATATACAGTCTAATATCAACAATCCCAATAATCATCAAGCAAAACAAACGGGAAACATCACAATGCGCTTAAAATTTCGACATCGCGAGATAATTTAACATATTAATCGAACATTTCAAGAACTTAAAAAAAAATCGAAGAATATACCTAGCACTAGGAGCCCTTCTTGGAACCTCAGGCTCAAACTCAACAGGCAAGCCCAAAAAGCCATCAAACCTATCAAATGTGACATGATTAACATGCTCCACATCAGTAGGCCAACCAATCTCCATCCCACCACCACCGCCGCCGCCGTCGCCGCCGGCAGTGGCACTAGGAAAATTATCCCTATCCGTTTTGCAGGCCAACCAGAAACTCTTCCTGAACAGAGTCACCAGAAGAGCTAGAAGCGATAATTGGTCCCTCCTATCTTTCTCCCTTTTCTCCTTCACCCTAATTTCGTCTTCTTCTACATTACCCACTGTAAGCACAGTAATCGCTTCTTCAGCAGCCGAATATGACTGGGTGTGGTGGAACAACGTGGCGTTGTGGTGGGTGGGTGTTGTGGATATGGAAGTGGGGGAGGACGAAGAAGGAGAGTGGAGCACATCTGTCATTGTTGTTGTAATCAAACAGTTTGAACAAATCAACAACAAAAAAATAAAATAAAAATGGGATCTTTGTAAGGATAATTAATTTATCGGAATAAATAATTTTGAAAAATAG